GAAAAAATGGGCCACCCCGCAAAAAAATGTTTAGGCCCCCACCCCCAAATATAAATATATAAGCCTATATATGTATATATAATATATGTATATATATATATATATATATATATATATATATATATATATATATATATATATATACTTAAACACAACATACGAACATAGGATACTTATTCATGCTGGCCTGTTCGTGTTATGAGAAATACGTGGGTTTTTTTTTAATTAAAACAAATTACAACATCATGCCATGAGTGTAAGTGCATTAGTATGTTTTGTGAAAATCAGTTTTATATTATCTCTGCCGTAAGACCATTCACTTTCTATCGGTCAAAAGAATATAAAACATGACAGCTTTCTGTAAATAATGGTGTCTCGTGTCATGTTTATTTTAATGTTTTTTTGTGTTTATTTTATTAATTTTAAATACATTTTATTTTTATACAGTGTCATTCTTTAGTAAGTAATTTATAAACAAATAATAATAATAAAGAGAAGTAATTGCTTTTTAATATGTTTAGTACAAAGCCATTAAAAAGAGGCTATGAGCATCACTATTTGACTATTTAAAAAAGGGAAATAAGTCATGGAAGTAGTTAAACGTTTGCTTATCTTTGGTAAGTTTCATTGTAGGAGAAAGAGGACTCGACTTTCACAGTGGTTTAAAAACGAAGGAAAAATGAGCGTGGGGTGGTGTCTATAGAATAAAGATAATCCAACCGCAGCTACGGTAATCTTTTTTACAAAACAAACATTAAGTAAAAAAATGCAAGAACATTTTTTTAAACTATAACAATTTTTTTTATGGTCGGCCGTGGGCCCCTAAATGGCGTGGGCCCCCCGCATTGCGGGGTCTGGCGGCACTGTAGTTCCGCCCCTGAATATCACCCTCTTAATCTTTTCAGTACATATTCCTGTCTCTGCCACTAGCCTGTATTTATTTTTAAAAAACGGAAACCAAGAACGAAATAACTTAATGTAAATGTTTTAATTCCCGGTTCTATTTTTAGAAATTTGAGAAATATTTTATTTTAACGACTACAAGAGTGTTTTGTTGTGATTCTACGTCAAGGTAATGTAGAATATTTGTTTACCTAACGTGTAGAATGAGATTACTTTATAACGTGTAGAATTAGATTACTTTATAACGTGTAAAATTAGATTACTTTATAAAATGTAGAATTAAATTATAGCATGTAGAGTAAGATTACTTTAAAACATTTCCTGGTTTTATGTGCTTTTAATTCTTAGCTCTAGCATATATTGTGTTTACTTAAGCAACTGTCTAGTAGGAATACAAGTCTTAAGAATAAACACATTTCTAATAGACAACACACATGTTTAGTGGTATTACACACCTGTCTAGTCAGGTAAAACAGCTGTCTAGTGGGACTACACACCTGTCTAGTGGGACTACACACCTGTCTAGTGGGACTACACACCTGTCTAGTGGGACTACACACCTGTCCAGTGGAACTACACACCTGTCTAGTGGGACCTAGTGGGACTACACACCTGTCTAGTGGGACTACACACCTGTCCAGTGGAACTACACACCTGTCTAGTGGGACTACACACCTGTCTAGTGGGACTACACACCTGTCTAGTGGGACTACACACCTGTCTATTGACACTACACACCTGTCTAGTGGTCTAAACACCTGTCTAGTGGGACTACACACCTGTCTAGTGGGACTACACACCTGTCTATTGACACTACACACCTGTCTAGTGGTCTACACACCTGTCTAGTGGGACTACACACCTGTCTAGTGGTCTACACACCTGTCTAGTGGGACTACACACATGTCTAGTGGTCTACACACCTGTCTAGTGGGACTACACACATGTCTAGTGGGACTACACACATGTCTAGTGGTCTACACACATGTCTAGTGGTCTACACACCTGTCTAGTGGGACTACACACCTTTCTAGTGGGATTACACACCTGTCTAGTGGGACTACACACCTGTCTAGTGGTCTACACACATGTCTAGTGGTCTACACACCTGTCTAGTGGGACTACACACCTTTCTAGTGGGATTACACACCTGTCTAGTGGGACTACACACATGTCTAGTGGGACTACACACATGTCTAGTGGGACTACACACCTGTCTAGTGGTCTACACACATGTCTAGTGGTCTACACACCTGTCTAGTGGGACTACACACATGTCTAGTGGGACTACACACATGTCTAGTGGTCTACACACATGTCTAGTGGTCTACACACCTGTCTAGTGGGACTACACACATGTCTAGTGGGACTACACACATGTCTAGTGGTCTACACACATGTCTAGTGGTCTACACACCTGTCTAGTGGGACTACACACCTTTCTAGTGGGATTACACACCTGTCTAGTGGGACTACACACCTGTCTAGTGGTCTACACACATGTCTAGTGGTCTACACACCTGTCTAGTGGGACTACACACCTTTCTAGTGGGATTACACACCTGTCTAGTGGTCTACACACCTGTCTAGTGGGACTACACACCTTTCTAGTGGGATTACACACCTGTCTAGTGGGACTACACACCTGTCTAGTGGTCTACACACATGTCTAGTGGTCTAAACACCTGTCTAGTGGTCTACACACCTGTCTAGTGGGACTACACACCTGTCTAGTGGTCTACACACATGTCTAGTGGTCTACACACCTGTCTAGTGGGACTACACACCTTTCTAGTGGGATTACACACCTGTCTAGTGGGACTACACACCTGTCTAGTGGGACTACACACATGTCTAGTGGTCTACACACCTGTCTAGTGGGACTACACACCTGTCTAGTGGTCTAAACACCTGTCTAGTGGGACTACACACATGTCTAGTGGTCTACACACCTGTCTAGTGGGACCTAGTGGGACTACACACCTGTCTAGTGGTCTACACACCTGTCTAGTGGTCTACACACCTGTCTAGTGGTCTAAACACCTGTCTAGTGGTCTACACACCTGTCTAGTGGTCTAAACACCTGTCTAGTGGGACCTAGTGGGACTACACACCTGTCTAGTGGTCTACACACCTGTCTAGTGGTCTACACACCTGTCTAGTGGTCTAAACACCTGTCTAGTGGGACTACACACCTGTCTAGTGGTCTACACACCTGTCTAGTGGTCTACACACCTGTCTAGTGGTCTACACACCTGTCTAGTGGTCTACACACCTGTCTAGTGGTCTACACACCTGTCTAGTGGTCTACACACCTGTCTAGTGGTCTACACACCTGTCTAGTGGTCTAAACACCTGTCTAGTGGGACTACACACCTGTCTAGTGGTCTACACACCTGTCTAGTGGTCTACACACCTGTCTAGTGGTCTAAACACCTGTCTAGTGGGTCTACACACCTGTCTAGTGGGTCTACACACCTGTCTAGTGGGACTACACACCTGTCTAGTGGTCTACACACCTGTCTAGTGGTCTACACACCTGTCTAGTGGTCTAAACACCTGTCTAGTGGGACCTAGTGGGACTACACACCTGTCTAGTGGTCTACACACCTGTCTAGTGGTCTACACACATGTCTAGTGGGACTACACACATGTCTAGTGGGACTACACACATGTCTAGTGGTCTACACACCTGTCTAGTGGTCTACACACCTGTCTAGTGGGACTACACACCTGTCTAGTGGGACTACACACCTTTCTAGTGGTCTACACACATGTCTAGTGGTCTACACACCTGTCTAGTGGGACTACACACCTGTCTAGTGGGACTACACACCTGTCTAGTGGTCTACACACCTGTCTAGTGGGACTACACACCTGTCTAGTGGGTCTACACACCTTTCTAGTGGGACTACACACATGTCTAGTGGTCTACACACATGTCTAGTGGTCTACACACCTGTCTAGTGGGACTACACACCTTTCTAGTGGGATTACACACCTGTCTAGTGGGACTACACACATGTCTAGTGGTCTACACACCTGTCTAGTGGGACTACACACCTTTCTAGTGGGATTACACACCTGTCTAGTGGGACTACACACATGTCTAGTGGTCTACACACATGTCTAGTGGTCTACACACATGTCTAGTGGGACTACACACATGTCTAGTGGGACTACACACATGTCTAGTGGGACTACACACCTGTCTAGTGGGACTACACACCTGTCTAGTGGTCTACACACCTGTCTAGTGGGATTACACACCTGTCTAGTGGGACTACACACCTGTCTAGTGGTCTACACACCTGTCTAGTGGGACTACACACCTTTCTAGTGGGAATACACACCTGTCTAGTGGGACTACACACCTGTCTGTTTGATCTACACATCTTCTAAGTTAAGCTATTCACCTGTTAACTGACACTAACCTACTCCAGCGGTCACGTGTTTACCGCCATCCACGCCTACTCAACACATTCGATACACGTCACACAACAATCAATATCGATCTCATTCAAAACAAAATCGATACAACAGAACAGCACTACTTGTATCTGGTAATGTGACACTAGTAATCGAAAAGCTAGATCGAGAAATAGCACAATACAGCTACCACATATTTTGTTGGCACTATAGATTATTTAACTTCTTGTATTCCCACCCACTGTATAAATAAGTTTAGTTACTGTTTACATTTTCGTTTTCATTTTAACCGATTCAGAATTAACTTTGTGTATCTAAACATACGTCCATGACTATTTAGGTCCTGATTGTTTTTGTAAATGAAATCGATGACGAGATAAAGGCTATGTTTAAAGTTTGGCTTAAATATCGTTTAAGTATCGTGTTGTGTTTAATCTGTTTCAGATCAGGCAGTCCATACTATTATGTTTAAACACTATTAAACACATATATGTATATTTAAACGCTATGAAACAACATAGTTTTTTAAAACACTATGAAATCACTATGAAATTGTTTGTTTCTCCGCTTTTTGTAACGTTTACTATTAAAGCCTAGAAAACAAACAAAAATTCATATGTATATAATTTGTTAGGCTTATTACACACATAAAATACCCATCTCTCCATAGCAACCAGAGTGTAAACAACGACAGTGAGCAACCATGCCAAAGAGGAAACGGAAGACGAAGTCTGCCAGCAAAGGCAAAGGTGATGATCTAATATTATTAGGGTTAATTTTAGGGATTTAAAGCTATATAAAATTTTATATAAGATCGGTATATATATAGGCCTATATATATATATATATATATATATATATATATATATATATATATATATATATATATATATATATATATATATATGTATATATATATATATATGTGTGTGTATGTATGTATGTATATATATATATATATAATATATATATATATATATATATATATATATATATATATATATATATATATATATATATATATATATATATATATATATAATGTTCCACCCATTAAGGTAGTCAATGGTCACTGTTCCATCCATTAAGTTAGTCAATGGTCTGTCTTAGTGTAATAAAACAAACCATGAAGTAAGGCACTCGTCGTAACCCCGACCCTTTCATCAGCTGAACCCCCCCCCCCCCATCCCACACCCAGAGGCGTAGCGACCCTGGGACTAACAAAATTAGCACCCCCCTCCCTCAAACTTTCAATTTGCACCCCCCCTCCAAAATATTTTTTTTTATATTTATGATGCAAAACTGCAGCTAAAATGATATTTTAATTTGTTTTTCCAACCCATTTTGACGCCCCCTAGGGTCGGCGCCCGGGGACATATGTACCCCCCTCCCCAAACTCTCAGTCTTAAAATTCAAAGAAGTCTTAAATATTTGGACGTGTGTCTTCCTTTTGTCTTTATCAGTTTAGTCAACACAAACTGTATGTGTTTTTACAACGTCAAGTAACCCTAGATTTAACAATTCTATGACTCAGACACAATATGTCTCACGTTTTTAAATACATAATAAGAAATAGCATTAATAAAAAACTACTATTTGAACTTTCTGTTAATTTCAGAAAAAATGAACCTAATCAGCTTGGAAAGCCCAGACGTTAAAAAAATGTTTGAAGGTAAAAATATTATACAATTTTATCAGAATGATAAACCTATCCTTATAGGTATACAAAAGGATAGTGGTATCCCAGAAGGGAATTCTACCCGTACCTGTATCTGTTTGTGTGTTTGTTTGTGTTTTTGTGTGGTACACATGTGTTTAACATAGTACCAACCTACGTACACACTAGATACCATCTGCAACACACAAATAGTTTATCACATAACAATTATAATCGAACTATACACATATCCCCACACTACATATAGGGCCACGTTACACATATATGCTCACCGTAAACACATATGCCCTTGCTACCTACATATACCATAATATACCTTAATACAACCCTTATGCCACCACTAACCACATCATCCCTTACAACTGTCCAGCTAAATATTGTCTTTGTATGACCCATCCACCACTAATAAGTACATATTGTCTTTAGCACCCATCCACCACTAATAGGTACATATTGTCTTTAGCACCCATCCACCACTAATAGGTACATATTGTCTTTAGCACCCATCCACCACTAATAGGTACATATTGTCTTTAGCACCCATCCACCACTAATAGGTACATATTGTCTTTAGCACCCATCCACAACTAATAGGTACATATTGTCTTTAGCACCCATCCACAACTAATAGGTACATATTGTCTTTAGCACCCATCCACCACTAATAGGTACATATTGTCTTTAGCACCCATCCACCACTAATAGGTACATATTGTCTTTAGCACCCATCCACCACTAATAGGTACATATTGTCTTTAGCACCCATCCACAACTAATAGGTACATATTGTCTTTAGCACCCATCCACCACTAATAGGTACATATTGTCTTTAGCACCCATCCACCACTAATAGGTACATATTGTCTTTAGCACCCATCCACCACTAATAGGTACATATTGTCTTTAGCACCCATCCACAACTAATAGGTACATATTGTCTTTGTATAACTGTTGCACCCATCCACCACCAACAGGTACACATGAAGTCGACTGGGGCAAGAACGAGGCTGACCTCCTTAAAAACTTCAAGAACTGCAAGAAAAACCCCGGTCACGTGTCTTTCATTCCATTCAAAGACTTGACCATCTCTCGTCTGCCCGCGAGCTACCAGTCTGACCTGATGCTGGCACTGATACAAGCTATGTCAGACATCACAGTCATGATCAAGGTCAAGTACGTCAGTCCACATAGACCCGATAAGTTCCCGGATTCGTTGGCGCCTTATCCGTTTTCTGAGATGAGAGGCAAGAGGATTATCCGGACCGGGACGGGGAGGTTGAGTTTCGTGCCGGAGGATGTGGATACGAGTTCCAGAACTTGTCCGTGTGCGAGTTGTCTAAAGTCGGACACGCCCAGCAAAGAATGGGGGGTCATACAAATCTGCACGACAACTCACGTTGTGTTCGACGACCTTGAAGCTGCTAGATCTACCGTTACGTTTGGATACGAGGATAAGGATCATCGCGGGCTGACGCTGGACGGGTGGAGGGCGGTGGGGGACGTCCCTCACGACTGGTGTGAGCTGCGGTGCTTGACGCATGACGTCACGTTTGTCCAAGAAATGGAAGAAAAATCCAGAAGGTTCTACTCCTTATGCCTGCAGGTCAATGAGATGTTCAAGTCCCTACAAGACAAAGATAAACTGACCATCATTGTGTCCCACCCTCACGGCTGTCCTAAACAGGTGACCATTGGTCAGTGGAATCTAAGGTCCGTAGCTCTACTTGACGCCGACAGCAATGACCAGTACACCAGGTACACGTACACAACGTGTACCTGCCCGGGCAGCAGCGGCGCCCCCGTGTACACCCTGGGGGACAGGTTCATCTACTGCCACACCCACAGCGGCGCCAACGACGACGCCAACTACAGCGCCCTCATGTGGGAGCCAAATGAGCTGTACGCCCCACCACCGCAGACTTAAAACATGAACTGTACGCCCCCCATGAGCTGTACGCCCCACCACCCCAGAGTTAAAACATGAACTGTACGCCCCCCATGAGCTGTACGCCCCACCACCCCAGAGTTAAAACATGAACTGTACGCCCCCCATGAGCTGTACGCCCCACCACCCCAGAGTTAAAACATGAACTGTACGCCCCCCATGAGCTGTACGCCCCACCACCCCAGAGTTAAAACATGAACTGTACGCCCCCCATGAGCTGTACGCCCCACCACCGCAGACTTAAAACATGAACTGTACGCCCCCCATGAGCTGTACGCCCCACCACCGCAGACTTAAAACATGAACTGTACGCCCCCCATGAGCTGTACGCCCCACCACCCAAGACTTAAAACTTGACCTAACACCCCCCTCCCTCCATGAGCTGTACGCCCCACCACCCAAGACTTAAAACTTGACCTAACCCCCCCCCCCTCCATGAGCTGTACGCCCCACCACCCAAGACTTAAAACTTGACCTAACCCCCCCCCCCCCCATGAGCTGTACGCCCCACCACCCCAGACTTAAAACTTAACCTAACCCCCCCCCCCCCATGAGCAGTACCCCCACCGCAACCATCCCAGACTTAAAACATGAACTGTACGCCCCCCCCCCCCCCACACACACAAACACACACCATCCCAGACTTACAACATGAACTGTATTCCCCACACACATACACCATCCCAGACCTTAAATATGAACTGTACGCCCCACCCTCGAAGATATAAAATGTCACCGGTACATCCCCTCCTCCGCTATACGCGGCACCCCCCCCCCCCACCCCTACCCCGTGTAAAAGACTTGAAATCGTCTAAATATATTTTAAAAGGTTAGAATTTCCCATTATCAGCCACCTGTTTTACGCACTTTGTCAATTGTCTGCCTTCATTCACATGTAAAGATGGGCGGATCTGTCTGGCTATGCTCAGTGTTGCAGACATGGCCCCATGTGTCAGTGGTGTCATTTGCTAATTAATGAGGGTCTGTCGATAGAGGGCTGTCACGTGTGTTAATTAGCTAATGATGGAACCATCTAATTACGTGACGCTTTCAACAGCAAGGGTTTCAATTATAGCTAGTGCATGTCTATGTTTTAATTTTTTAGCGCAATTTCCATTCTGGAGAATTGCGTTTATTAACTCGTCATTTCTGGGAATGGATGGATGGATGAATGTATGGATGAATGTGTGTCCGGGCTTTAAGTCGTATCTCCTCCTCAACGAAGCAATATCGATGACTAGTTCCAAAAGCAATTATGTTAAGCAAGTTACAAGAATGAGCATAGGCCATAAAAATTCCGGGTTTCTTTCATGTATTTCCCGGAAAAGCCAAAAAACCTCGAAAAAAATCAGTTTTTGGCCCATATCTCGGCAACCAGGCCACTTAGCGACTTGAAACATGTACCAATCGATTTCTGTCATAATTTAGAACAATATTGCCGAAGAAAGTTTTCAAAAATATCCTCTCGTTCGGTCACAAATTTTAAAATTACATAAACACCTACAAACCGATTGTTCTTCTAGCTTGAACGCACCCCAACATTATACGTCAGAGCTATTTTTAGATAACATAAGGAAATTGCGCACAAATGTCACTAGACTTTTTTAATTAACTTGTTTAAAAAGACCTAGGTTTCGATCTTCAACAATATAGGAAATAGAATCTGAAAAGAGGGATGAGACGCATAGCATAAACTAAATTTGTAAATACCATCGCTAAAAATGAAAAACGATATTGATGTATGCAATAAACATGCTTTTCTTAATTACTAGCTTATCTACATGATTAATTTTAATGCTTATTCTGATCAAGCTTAAAGACTTTTGTATATTTTTACTTACTAACGGTCTGTTTGGAATGAAAGATTTACTACGACTAGGAGGCTGGGTAAAACTCAATTGTAAACTTTACGTGCCAATGTCCTTCAGTCTGTTTGTCTGTAGACAATCTTGTAACGCAGTTTTGATCTTCTTTTAACGCAGCTAAATCGTGCAAGAGATTTGATAAATGACCAATGCTTTTAATGAAGTCAGAGAATTTCATAGCATTGAAACGATAATTATTCTAAAGCTTTTTATATTGCTTTTATTTATGGAAACGATAACTATTCTAAAGCTTTTTATATTGCTTTTATTTATGGAAACCAATAATATTTCGCATTCAACTTTAATGATAATCTTAAATAACATTATATATATATATATATATATATATATATATATATATATATATATATATATATATATATATATATATATATATATATATATATATGAACTATTTTTATAGTTTGTACATTTATGTCGTGTCTTACTTTCTAAGCGTTCAGCACCAAAAAAAAATCTTCCCTTTTCAACAGTCAATGCAGAAAGTGCAGTAGAGTTCACCTGTTACTGTGACATCGGCCTGTGTGTGGATAGTGTGTCCTGCCGCCTTTACTTTCTCTAACGTGAGTTAGGTACTCGTTAGGGCTAGGTGGACTCAAGGACGTTCTAAATACTAGAACCCGGGTTCAATTCGAGACATTCGGGTTAGTAGTCCAGCACTCTACCGCTAGAACACACAATACCTATACAACTAAAACAGACCTACATACCCGCTGATACATCTGAAATATAGAACTTGTAGAAGAAAAAAAGGGTAGTAATTTAAATGTCTTACAATAATATTCTAATCTTTAATGAATAGCTTTTACAAGAACTGACATCTTTGACATAAGCAAATTGATCTCACATACCGCCTCTCATTAGACACTGTTCCTCTTATATCATAAAGAAAATAATATATTTAAAAATGTTGCGTAAATAACTGAATGTGCTGTTTAAAAAATTATAAAATAACTAATGCGATAATTTGTACTGAAAGTTGCATTAGTAGCATGGTGTATAGCACTTGAGTTTGGACCAAAACACATGTGTAGTACTTTACTTCCGGTGACATTGTCTCGGTCCATTGATTAGCACACGCTTGACAAATACAACATTTATAAAAGGAATTAACATAATAGACCATTGGACCAGTTTAAGTCTGTTTCCATTAAACAATGTTTATTCGGCTTAAATAAAATTGTAACTTAAAATATTATTTAAAACATATCTTTGATTCTATAGCTTTTGTCTGAGTTTTTCTTTATATAAGTCTCAGTTACTTTTTCCACAGCAAACTCCGAAATTTCGAGTTGTATTTGTAGTAAACAAAAATATTACTGCAGGAATAGATCATCTGACAGGTGTCTTTAATGACAGACATTGACTCGTAGATCCTCCCATACCTCCCGTCTAGAGCGTACTCAGCCAACACCAGTTTAGTCGTGTGATGAACGACTTTTGGCAAGCTGCTGATTATAAATATGACGGACAGGACCAGTAACTGCTGTATAATATGGAGTTCCTTCCCTTTGAGTTTAGTATCTTTTATGTTGTAATTATTCATATCATTTGCGATGCTTGTCTCATCAAGTCTAGTATGTTGCTGACGAAAACTCGAAGCTTTTATGAGATGGCGTTTCATTACAATGGCGCAGATGACTAAAATAACTTGAATGGCGATGGGCATAAACGTGTCTCTGATTGGCCAGATAATGTAGGTCACCCACTTTCTGTAGGGTGAAATCCACAGCATGGCCCTGACTGTGTGGATTCTAAAGTCATATGACTGGATGATTCCCATGTAAGCGAGGATTGGAATAACGGACAAAACGCAGGACGTACCGCTGGTTAGCATAAAAATCACCGTCCACTTTTTTGACGAGAGTTTTTTTCTAAACCACAGTGGTTTCGCCACACTGAGGCAGCGAGTTATAGACAGAAATGTGATCGTTAGGATGGTGTTTGCGAAAAACCCACCACCGATGTTGATGAAGAAGGTGTTGATACCGTAAGGATCAATTGGGAAATACAGCCTGAAACTGCTGATTAATTCAATGATTTGAAATATATAAGAAATCGACGCGACTGTTATGGTGACAAGGTACAACTGGTCAGATACGGAGAGATATAAGAAGGCCAAGGTCACGCCGTCCTTGACCCCCATGGCCAAAAATGTACGAATGGTCAAGGTGTTGCTGACGATACCGAGGAAAGAAATGACCCCGCGGCAAATACAAAGAACGGTAACTTCTATTGAGATGTTGTCTTGTAGGTTACTGGCCCCTAATACTCGGGTAACGTTGTTGTCTCCCATTATGCTTCAAGTTGTGACTGCTTACTTCAAACTGAAAAGAAGGGCAACTCTACACAAAAGTTATTTACTTAAAGGAGTCTGTGCTCTGTTCTCACGTAAGACACACGCGTAGAAATTGTAACCAAGAAATATTAATAAAAAAACTCACTGCTTTTTAATGTACGTCTTTGTCTTAAAGTTTTCCAACAATTATTTAAAAATCGACATAAAATAAGCATAAACAACATTTAAAGCTGAAAATTATTCAAGCAATTATTTAAATCGTGAATTTGAGTACCCTAACAAGACTAACAATCTGTATTAAATATGGAGGCTTTTTTCCAAGTAGACATCATCTAATGCGTGTTCGTTTCCGTCATTTATTTCACTATTGTATAGACAATTTAAATAATTTAGACTAAATTTGAGGAGCCTCAATAATATCTACTTTAAAAAAAAGTAATCTATTTATTATTGATTGCAGAAAAGATAATTTCGTGACACTTTTCGAACGTTTACAAGAAGATTAGCAGATAATTTGGTGTTTGTCTTTACTGCTGTAAGTGAGAAAAAAGTGGCGAGGTCTTTAGTACAGCGAGCTTATTTAAATTTTATTTTATCGATAGTAAATTACTGAACACGTTGACGAAGGTAAATACGTGGGCCGATAATTTCCTATACTACAAAAGAAAAATACATATGGTAGCTGCAGTACTACAATAATATATTAAATGGAACCAAAACTACTTTAAAACTAACCGAACTCAAGTTGACCTGATGGTAACAAACTCAAGTTGACAAAAGAACAAACTTAAGTTGACAAACTAACAAACTCAAGTTGACAAAAGAACAAACTTAAGTTGACAAAGTAACACACTCAAGTTGACAAAAAAACAAACTTAAGTTGACAAAGTAACAAACTCAAGTTGACAAAAGAACAAACTTAAGTTTACAAACTAACAAACTCAAGTTGACAAAAGAACAAACTTAAGTTGACATAGTAACAAACTCAAGTTGACCACATTGTAACAAACTCAAGTTGACCACATTGTAACAAACTCAAGTTGACCACATTGTAACAAACTCAAGTTGACCACATTGTAACAAACTCAAGTTGACCACATTGTAACAAACTCAAGTTGACCTGAAGGTAACAAACTGATCTGACCTGATCTACGCACAACAATTTAGCTCATTGGCAAAGTTAATTGACATAATGCTTTACATTTCAAGCATCCAGCGCTGATTGCGAGCGAGGTTTTATTCTTATGAACAGCATTAAAGTACAAGCACGAAATAGACTTGAAGCCACACATTTGGAGAATCGAATGCGAATTAAATTATATCTAAATGCTGGAGAGGATGTGGATTTAAACAAAGCATATAAGGTATGCAAGCAAGGCAAGGTTAGACGCGAGAAATTGCAATAAATGCCCCTGAAAGGTTAGCTAATTTTGTTTTCAAGTCAGCTCTTTAAAATGGTTTACATGTTAAACTGTTGTATTTGTATTACCGTTATGGTATTAACGGTATTAACATTATAATTGCATTACATTAACATAGTAAGTCGACCATATAACCTGTTGTCTAAGTATAACTCTAAAAGTTTCTGTTGTGAATTTTATTTTATTTAGATGGGATTCGTATTTTCTTTTAATTGCATACGTTTCATTAGTCCTACACATTATACTATTAATTTATCAAAATGCATGCCTTCATTACTCTGCTTAATTGCAAGCCTAAACTTACATATTAACTTGCCCAAGTCATTTTTAGCACCGCGCACAAAAAATATTTTTTGCACACACAGTCTTGGTCCTTAGAGGGAACATTGGTCACCACCATCATATTTGTGTCACCTCATCATATTTGTGTCATCTCCGTCATTTTGTGTCACCTCCAACATATTTGTGTAACTATCACCATGTTTCTGTCACCTCCATGTTCATATCATCACCATCCTATTTGTGTCACCTCCAACATATTTGTGTCACCTCCGTCATTTTGTGTCACGTCCTACATATTTGTGTCACCTCCATCGTGTGTCATCTCCATGTTTGTGTCACCTCCATCATATCTGTGTCACATCCATCGTGTGTCACCTCCATGTTTTTGTCACCTCCATCATGTGTCACCTCCATCATATTTGTGTCACTTCCATCATATTTGTGTCACCTCCGTCATCTTGTGTCACCTCCAACATATTTGTGTCACCTCCATCGTGTGTCACCTCCATCATGTGTCACCTCCATCATGTGTCACTTCCATCATATTTGTGTCACTTCCATCATATTTGTGTCACCTCCATCATATTTATGTCACCTCCATCATATGTGTGTTACTTCAGTCATATTTTGTCACCTGCATGTTCGTGTCACCTGCATCATATTTGTGTCACAACATTTATATTTGTGTCACCACCATCATATTTGTGTCACCTCCGTCATATTTCGTCACCTCCATGTTCGTGTCACCACTATCATATTTGTGTCACCACCATCATATTTGTGTCATCTCCGTCATATTTGTGTCACCTCTGTTTGTGTCACTTCCATCATATTTGTGTCACCACCATCATATTTGTGCCACCTCCATCATATATGTACCACCTTCAACACAGTCTACTAAATGCAACCTCCATACAATATAGTTACTAGTCGGGCAGGCTACCTCTCGGCCACCCCGATACCTACATGTGACGAATGTATTGACAAATATCTGTTGGAAACCTTTTCAAACACTTTCAATAACTATAATAAGTAACGGCTATGACAATTATAATGTTACAGCCCATCGTGTATATGGGGTAGCACAATCATACATGCAGTAGCGTACGCAGGGGGGGAGCAGGGGGAGCGGCCGCTCCCCCTCTGGCCATTTTCAGCCAAGTGGCGCTTTTTTGGAAACTTTATATATATATATATATATATATATATATATATATATATATATATATATATATATATATATATATATATATATATATATATATATATATATATATATATATATAATACATGTATATAGAACGTGCAAAAATTTCGGCGCCTTTTTTGCTCATTTCGCTCCCCCTACAACGAAAACCTGGATACGCCTCTGCATACATGCCATGGTCTATCTAATATCGTATGCCCAAGTATATATGTAAGACGAGTCTGTATAGCCATCTATATAATAGTTCTCTAAAGACTAATTTAAGACAAGCACTTTAAGAAAAATGTTGATCCAGTACCTGGTCATGTTAAGTGTGTGATGACGTCATCTCCCGCAGTGATCGCAGGCGAGTACCTGACCTGCGCGTTCGACGACAAGATCTACTACGACGGTGACGTCACCAGCGACCTGTGTAACCGCTGCACGTGCGTCTGGGGGCGTGAGTTTTGTACGGATGACCCGTGTCTACAAGGTAACTCTAATGACCCGTGTCTACAAGGTAACTCTAATGACCCGTGTCTACAAGGTAACTCTAGTGACCCGTGTCTACAAGGTAACTCTAATGACCCGTGTCTACAAGGTAACTCTAATGACCCGTGTCTACAGGTCACTCTCTAATGACCCGTGTCTACAAGGTAACTCTAATGACCCGTGTCTACAAAGTAAATCTAATGACCCGTGTCTACAAAGTAACTCTAATGACCCGTGTCTACAAGGTAACTCTAATGACCCGTGTCTACAAGTTTACTCTAATGACCCGTGTCTACAAGGTAACTCTAATGACCCGTGTCTACAAGGTAACTCTAATGACCCGTGTCTACAAGGTAACTCTAATGACCCGTGTCTACAAGGTAACTCTAATGACCCGTGTCTACAAGGTAACTCTAATGACCCGTGTCTACAAGTTAACTCTAATGACCCGTGTCTACAAGGTAACTCTAATGACCCGTGTCTACAAAGTAACTCTAATGACCCGTGTCTACAAGGTAACTCTAATGACCCGTGTCTACAAGGTAACTCTAATGACCCGTGTCTACAAGGTAACTCTAATGACCCGTGTCTACAAGGTAACTCTAATGACCCGTGTCTACAGGTCACTCTCTAATGACCCGTGTCTACAAGGTAACTCTAATGACCCGTGTCTACAAGGTAACTCTAATGACCCGTGTCTACAAGGTAACTCCAATGACCCGTGTCTACAAGGTAACTCTAATGACCCGTGTCTACAAAGTAACTCTAATGACCCGTGTCTACAAGGTAACTCTAATGACCCGTGTCTACAAGGTAACTCTAATGACCCGTGTCTACAAGGTAACTCTAATGACCCGTGTCTACAAGGTAACTCTAATGACCCGTGTCTACAGGTCACTCTCTAATGACCCGTGTCTACAAGGTAACTCTAATGACCCGTGTCTACAAGGTAACTCTAATGATTCGTGTCTACAAGGTAACTCTAATGACCCGTGTCTACAAGGTAACTCTAATGACCCGTGTCTACAAGGTAACTCTAGTGACCCGTGTCTACAAGGTAACTCTAATGACCCGTGTCTACAAGGTAACTCTAATGACCCGTGTCTACAAGGTAACTCTAATGACCCGTGTCTACAGGTCACTCTCTAATGACCCGTGTCTACAAGGTAACTCTAAAGACCCGTGTCTACAAGGTAACTCTAATGACCCGTGTCTACAAGGTAACTCTAATGACCCGTGTCTACAAGGTAACTCTAGTGACCCGTGTCTACAAGGTAACTCTAATGACCCGTGTCTACAAAGTAAATCTAATGACCCGTGTCTACAAGGTAACTCTAATGACCCGTGTCTACAAGGTAACTCTAATGACCCGTGTCTACAAGGTAACTCTAATGACCCGTGTCTACAAGGTAACTCTAGTGACCCGTGTCTACAAGGTAACTCTAATGACCCGTGTCTACAAGGTAACTCTAATGACCCGTGTCTACAAGGTAACTCTAATGACCCGTGTCTACAAGGTAACTCTAGTGACCCGTGTCTACAAGGTAACTCTAATGACCCGTGTCTACAAGGTAACTCTAATGACCCGTGTCTACAAGGTAACTCTAGTGACCCGT